GAGGGAGAAAGGGAGGCACGTGCCCTAACTGGGAATTAAACCAGTGACCCTCTGGTTTGCACGCTGGCACTCAATCCACTGAGCCATACCAGTAAGGGCTACAGAGAAATTTTTAAAATCAAAACACACAAGGATATTTTGGGGAGGAACCCAGTAAGGAGATTTTAACATACACGGAAGAATAAGAGCCAAGAATAGCCGAGCCACTTTCCTGAAGAAAATGAGAGACTTCACTTGCCCTACCCGCATTGGGACTTATTTGAAGCTGCAGTAATTAAGACAATGATGAAGGCACTGGGGTACACATGGTGATCAATAGATAGAGAGCCCAGAAACGGTCTCACGTAGGTACGATGTGGCATATGTCAACAATGGCGTTTCGGGTCAGTAGAGAAAAGACAGACTACTGATAAACAGAGCTGGAAAAGTGGTTACATCTGTGTGAAAATGGATGAAACTGTAGCAGGTCCAATTATAAACCTAGTGTCTCTCAGTGCCAACACCGAGCTTCCACACTCTTCTCTGTAATGCTGGCTATACTGTGTGTTTGCTCTATTACATGAGAATATTCAATTCTGCTACAGAGGACAAGAAAAGCAAACAGGATGGGCGAAATTCATCAGATATGCTAACTTTAGATTATAAATAAACAAGTCACTTGTCAGGCACAGGCAAAATTCAGATGTGCTAAAAATAAGTAGTAAGTTTGTAATCCATAAAACATGTAAGAATAGAGTAAATGGAATATATTGTAAAAAGAATGGAGTGAATAAGAATGTTCCTTGCAGGTAGAAAAAGATGGAAAAATGAAATCATAATGTACGGTGCGTGCCACACCAGGGCTGACAGCCAGGTCATCCTTAAGTTTTCTACCTGTTGGTGATGCCATCCTGGTTTCTGTATGCTTTCTTCCAGAAATGCTGACAAAAGGGAAGCTGTGTGAACAGACCTGTGGCCAGGCCTACATGCCGTTGAGCATCCCAGCAGAGCAAGTTTACATTTGTTCCAAGCGTCTTCCATCTACTGATCCCTTATTTAACCTCAGTTCTGTCCTCATGACCACACTGTTAGAGCATAACACAAGATTTAGATAGTGTGGTCCTTTCACCCTGCTTGTCTCCTTCCCAAGTGGGTTAACCTACCTAAATCTTTCCTCTTGATTCTCACTGTGTGTTTCACACAGACTCAAAAACTTTTGTGACTTCATCAGTATGGTTTGGTCTGGTCTTCTTGGTCTGTGGTCTCTACAGCTTGCTTATAGTGTATGTAGAGGCTACCACTGCCTGGAGCTAATTTCTCACAGGGTACTTGGGCTGGGAACCTACATGCCACATTTCCCAGGCTCCCCTGTTAGGTGGTTTCTGGTTAAGTTCTGGAAAGAGGAGGCACTAGAGAGACACTGGAAGGCAGAAAGAGGAAAGAAGGAACTCACTTCTAACTTCAAGTTCTCTTTGCCTCTCTCTAGCATCTGAACACCTCTGTCGCCAAAGACCCCTCTCTGCCAAACTGGGATCCAAACCCTGAGAGCTTTGAAAGACACAAAATAAGTGTACACCATGGGAAAAAAGTTTTGGTTTCAAAATGAACAAACGTTTTATTAAATGCTTACAAATGATAAACTTAGCCAACTTATAAACTGCAACCCAACTTTTTAACAGTTCTGTATAAATGTAATAAAGTTTGAACTACAAGAACAAAATGAAGAATATATTTTAAAGCTAAAAAGATTTTTAAATAATTTCACTTAATATTTTTTACATCAAAGAAGTTATATTTAACATGGGATAAGGACCTGTTTTTACTTGATTCATATGATGTATGTGTGTATTTTAAGGCTAAGGTGGTGGGATGTTCAGTGGTAAGGGTGGTCATGACCTGGAGATCTATAAAGAACCTGACAGAGCCCCTCACTCTATACATTTCTATTGCACCCTCCGCTATGTGCAGTGTAGTTAACATGGTAATCTGGCAACAGCTTATGTAATGAAGTAGGAAAGCAGAGACTATGAGGATCAGCCTAGAAAGGCTAGAGCTTTGAAGAGACTTGCTAATTGAATACTATATGGCCCATGAGGAAACATAACACTGGGGTCTGAGGGTGGACTTATATCCAGTGGCCAAAAGCTGAGTTCGTGGGTGGTTGTATTACCGGTGATGTTGGCTCTCAGTTACTGAGTTCAGCAAAGAAAGAATTCAGAGCCAAGAACTCTAGTGCAAAAGGAAGTTTATTTAGCATGCAAAATGAAAGTACACTTGAAGAGAAGATTTGAGCAGGCTGCTCAGACAGCTGCCTTGGCCTTTTAGAGAGAAAGTCACAGAGGCAGAAGAAGTGAGCCATCTGGGCTGCGTGGACTCAGGAGAAAAAGCTACAGAGGCAAAAAAAAAAAAAAGGTGGGGTGGGGGGCTAAGAATTTAGGAGAAAGAAAGCAAAGATATACACCTAAGGAAGAAAGGCGTGGAAGTGCTCTAGAGAGAGGCCTTGGACTGGGTCCTCAGTAAAATATTCATCAGCTTTCCAGGTGTATCCTTTCATGGTAGTGGTCACTACTAATTGTTTGGCATTGTGGTGGGGGTGGGGGGTCATTGGTCATCGCATCTGGTTCTGATGAGAGCCATGCACGCATTCCATCTGATTTTGCTGTTTTTCTGGGCCTAGAGCTGAACTACAACCAAGGCCTAGATGTTATCTCTAATTTGCCCAAAACTCTGTCCCTGGTCCACAGACCTGAGGCTTTTTCACTAGGACTGTTTGATGCTGACCAGAACCTCATTGTCCTGAGGGCTAACGCTGAAAGGAGGGGTTGTGCAGGGGAGAAAGAGGCAGATGAGTCAGGGTGCCAGATAAAGGCAGTTTGAATCAGCTGTCTGCCTCAGTTTCCCCATTTTACTTGCCAAGGAATTTTCCTGACTTCTTACTATCCTGCCTCAGGTGGAGATAGGTTGTGTGTGCTTGGAGTGATGAGTCTCAGGGCCTCTAGGAAATTGTCAGTGCAGCCAGTTATCACCCAGTGTCACAGTTCTGGTGCCACAGCACTGCAGAGAAGAACAGCTCTAGTTCTTAAGGGAAGAGACCTGTAAGGCTCCCCACCCCCCACTCCTGCTCTCCCTCCTTGATGTCTGACCTCCACTTTGTACCTAGCATGTCTTCTTTCCATGCCAGGGTTTCTGGAACTTTTGTATGCATAAGACTCATGGAGCACCCCTATTAAAAGTGAAAATTCCCAGACCTCCCCCTTGATTCTGCAAATGCCATGCTTTGAGAAGCTCTGCTCAGTAGGATCATTCTTTCTGTCCTCTGCTCCCAAAGCTAGTTAAGAAATTTGGGAGCTATAGACAAGTCCTTTTCTGCTTCCCATGATCCTGCTAAGGGAGACAAATGACATTCATTTGAAGTAACCAGAAAAAAATCTCAGAGAATGAAGGAAGAGCCAAGTGGACCAAACTGGGTTTCCGTGCAAAGCAGACCCAGCTCCTGGTGGTGAGTTGAGTGTGTGCGTATGTATTTGAGGGGGTGGGGAGCTAAATTGGGAGTCCCAAGGATAAAGGCCTGATTTTAAAATGTATTTTGCAGCTCTTTCTGCCCCCAGCTGCAGGCCCTTGAGATCACAATATGGTCAAATTGGAATCACCATTTTCACTTTGAAACAGATTCATACCATACCATTGTGTTTTATCCAATTCACATCTTAAGCCCATGGTTTTATTGCGTAAAATTACGTCCTTGTTTCTTATCTAAAGGAAAGTGGAGGAACAAAAGCAGAATAGAGAGTTTGGGGGTTGTTTTTGGAGCTGGACACCCTTCTCCTATGCAAACCAAGTAAGTCAGAGGAGGACCATACAAGTAAAAGTAAACCTACTTTCATAATGCAAAGGGGTCTGCAGAGAAGTAAATCAGAAGGGGTCAGGGAGTGCTGGTCTGGCTTCCTTTCTCCCCCTTTGGGCTATGTGGTGCAGACATCATGAAGGAGGTTGGACTGGGTGTTTATAATTCTGTGCGTCCACTCAGAATCTCAGCACATTTCTCCAGACTCGCTCCTTATCTTGTCCCCTCCCTGCCTCCCTGCTGCCGTCATCTGCTCCTCCCAGCTCCTCCCAGCTCCTCCTGGCCTCCTGGCTCCTCCTGGCTCCTCCTGGCCCCCTCTCCTCCAGTCTCTACCTCCCCAGTCCAATCCGTGACAAGGCTGCCTGCCCAGCTCAGTTTCTGCAGTTCAGTATCCCAAAGCCTTGAACCACTAGTGAAGAACAGAGAGCTCCAAGATCAACCAGGTAGTAGAGGAGGGAGTCAGACAAAGTCCTATTTCTGATGGGAGAGCAGGATGAAGTCCCTAGAGTCGGGACCCAGGGCTGGGCAGAGGATGCCTGGAGAAAAGCACGTAGGTGCTAAGGGAGTCCTTAGTTTCATAAAGATGGTGACAATTAGAATGTAACCATGTGGGGAAATAGGGCTGGTCTCAGGAAAACCCTTTAAATGAACACAAATAGACCTTGCAGGAAAAAAATTGAAAAGAAAAATTGACAAGGATAGTGTGGATGGAAAAAATGTGTAATTACAGTCATTTATGTGTCCTTCTCACTCATTATGCTTCATTACCATACTGCACAGTCTCCAGATGACTATCATTAAATGCATCGGACTGGACGCGCGTTATGTTTTACCTGATTAGCAAAATGTTCACACTTGTAAACTCATGTCTTCACAGCAGATTCCTTCTGCAAGACTGTTCCCAGCTTAGAACTTTAAAATAAAGAAAGAAAAAAATATATATATATATATAAATGGGCCCTGCCCTGGCAACCTGCAAGGCTGACGCAAAGGGGTTAAAAGTTAAGTGGATGTTGCGCTTGAAAAAGTAAGATGGGGCCTCTACATAAAGTTGAACAAGGCATCTGGGGCCCCCACAACCCTCCACCTTTTTTGGCCTCGAAGGCGGCAACCCTAGCGTCCCTCCCAATGTCCTCCGCCTTTGGGACTGAGCAGGGAAGCTCACGTAGTGGCAGCCAAGGAGAGGGGCCGGCCTTGCCAGGACTAAAGAGGGAGGGGAGGGGAAAAGCAAGAATCGCCCACCCCGATCCCAGGCGGAGGGGCGGGAGCAGAGGGTACCCGACCGAGCGAGCAGCGTCTTGGGCTCTGTGCATCTCTCTGGAGCGGCGCGGGAAGGATGCTGGGCCGCAGGAACACGCGCGCGGAACGCGGGATGCCGCGGGGCTGGACTGCGCTCTGCCTGCTGAGTCTGCTGCGTGAGTACACGCCGCGCGCGCGGCTCTTGGAGCTGGGCCGGGAGGGTCGAAGCTCCTCCGGAGGCCGAGCGAGCTCAGCCAGCTACACCGAGGAAAGGGACCCCTGGCTCAACCCACGCTCCCACGCCCATGACTGCTCCAGGCTTTGGTGGGACGAGGCCCGGTGTGAATGGCTTGGCCTCTCACCTGTGAATCGGCGGGGGTGGGAGGGAAAGAGAAGGCGACGACGGGCGTAAGCCGACTAACCCAGGTATTAACCCGCTGCTAGCCCTAGGCGTTCCGGAGTCGCACAATGCGACTCGCCCGAGTTTGTCTCTAATATAAAGCACTTAGAAGGTGCCCGTGTCTCTCCGTGTTACCAAAGGAGCGGAGCGCGAAGTTGGAGACGGGTGGAGAGAAGCAGCAAAGTTTTTTGGCTGGTGGTTGATTCAGAAAACCGGGGCGTTGTGGGGAAGGGGGCCAGGCGTCCACAGACCACCCCGATGGGGGAAGCCAGAGTTGGACATTTAAGGAAAGGGAGCAAAGCCAAACTGGGACGAGGCCCAGGAGGCAGGCTGAGTTAGGTGAACGGGGAAGTTTGGAATGGAGAACAATCCGTGCAAAAATCTTTACATTTAGTATCACAAAGCTAAGTCACTACTCGCTCTTCCGACACCCACACCCCTTCCACTGGAGAGAAGGTGGTGGAGGATGGAGTTTGCTCTCTGCGCCGGCTCCTTCTCCCACCCCAACTCCTCTACCTGGCGCCAACTCAAGATCCTTAGGTTTGGGGGTTTTCTTTCCCTGCCCCCTCCAAGTTCTAGAAGTAGTGGACAGGTCAGAAGAATAGTGGATGCTCCTCCTCATCCACAAGGATCTTAACTTCTTAAGTTCTTGCTCTCATTTTGGTTTAGGAAAAAAAAAGGCACTCAATCAATATTTATTCCTTATTACTTTCATTTGGGACAACATCCTCAAACTCATTTCATTGCACTTGGAACTTTTTAAACATTGAAAGTTGTTCTCTCTTTTGTTCAAAATTCTGCTTCCAGCCCTCTAGGGCTCCCAATTCCCTTCTCTTACTGAAGGGCCACCCAGCAGGGGCCGAGGGAGAAGTGTGGGCCAGCAAGCTAGGCCTCTTTGCTCTCACCCTCCCCCCACTGCTGCCCCTCTTTGGGTCCACCCAGTTGGAGAGCTCTAAGCTGGGCTCTGGCTTGGCCTGTTTGGCAGCTCCAGACTTGCCCTTTGGGGCAGGGAAAAAGTTGTCGCTGAGGTGTCAAAGCCCTAGAAAGGGGAACTGCCCTGGGTGCTAGACCGCACCCACGTAAGAGGGGTGAGTTGATCAGAGGCTCTGATGTCGATCAGATGCTTCTCTCTGCTTTGACTACACAGCTTGGGATGGTGACCTGGTCCTGGGCCCAGCGAGGCCCACCCTTTCCTTATTTCCTCAGCTGGCTGGTCTGGGCCTCCCTGCAGCAGTGGGGGTGGGGGGAACAACTTAACCTCTTCACAAACTCAGGTTGATATGTTGAGAATTTCAGTATCTCAACGGGGAGTGGGGGAGTGAGGGAGGGATGGGGCCCTATTCTTACTTAATCTTGCCAGACTGTGTGGTCTAGTTTGTCAGCTCTATGCCTTCCTTGAGAATGTTCTAGGGTGTGTGTTTTTTCAATACCAGCAGTCTTTTTCTGTCATGGGATATATTGTGGAGTAAATGAAATGAGTGACTGTGCCTTGAAACGTTAATGAAGGGACATCGCAGAAATCCCGTGCTGTTATTACTGTGAAATTTAGGGCAGAAAGGGGTTCTGTGGTTTTTCTTGTCACTTAACCGGACACAGAGCTTTGTTCTGGGAAGTTCTTTTTTTCTGTCCCTGTGAGAAGTTGGCATGGGGAGGGGCAAAGCCGCCCACCAAACGTAGACTCTTCTAGTTGGCAGTGGGGTGGCTCCGGGTGGTGACCAGAACCGGGAGGACAATAAGAGGCCATCAGCTGGGAAGAGGAGACTCTGAGGTCATTAAGGAACCTCATGTGTCATACTGAAGGTTTCCTCCAGGCCCTCCATGGCCCATCCTTCTGATCCCCAGTGACACCCCCAATCCCACCCCTTCACATTCCTCTTCTTCCTTTTGGACCTTTTGTGCATGCAGACCCCACACCCATATCCTGTCTGGGGCTACATGTAAGAGGGGAAAAAAGAAAAGGAAAAAGAATTTTATCAGATATTTTCCAGAGGAGAGAGGACTCCACCCTTTGAATCTCTGCCACATGGCGACTAAGGAGGAGCAGCCTTGGGGACCTCTGACTAACTCAGAGGCCCCCTGTCCTCTGGCTTATAGGGCCAACCCTGTTGGCACAATTTTTGCAAGTGCAAGTCTTCAGCAGCATTCCCCTTTGACTGATAAAAGGAGCCACCGGGTGTCTTTTTATTATCCTATTGGCTCCACCTCCCGGGAACCCCATTCACTTGTCCTCATCTTCATCCCCCGAGTCTTTGTCTTCGAATGCTCAGGGCAAAGCGTGCCAAACTGCAGCAGATAAACTCCTGCGCCATCTTACAAAAACAAATAAAAGGGAGGAACAAATTCCACTTCGTATGGTCTCACTGCCTGATTTCCTTTAGACCCTGGGCAGACAAGCCTGGGCTGACTTTCAGGGCTGGATGGTGACCGAGCTCCACCCTCGGGGTGCCTGGGCCTCCCTCTCTCATTGACTTTGCCTGATCTAACTAAATGGCCCGAGTGCGGAGAACCGAAAATGTGAAGGTATGGAAACAGAACAAAAACACCACCTTCCGGAAGAAAATGCTCAGAGTCGCCAGGACAGAATTTCCATATTTTTCTGGGCTTTGACTTCTCTAATGAGAACATTTTCTTCCCTCCTCAGCAAAGAAATAAAAACACATTATCTACGACTTTTAGTCCCAAGCGCCCTGACTTTCCTAAAGAGAAGGATGTGTGCATCTAGGGAGGAGGAAAGACAGACCAGTAGGGAGGTATCCCAGGACCTGCAGCCAGAGCCCACCTGGGAATGAACCACTCCCCTTCAGGTGTAAAGAAAGGAAGACTTCTTCTGGCCTAATTAGAAAGGCTGTACTTTATTGATTTGGAGTGGGGGATCCCTAAAGAACCCATAACTGATGCCTCCCAGTGGGGCAGCATCTCTAGGTAGCCAGTTACTATGTTTAAGAAAATTCCTTAAATAGTCTTTCGATGAGAAAACCTAGACCCCTGGACAAACTTTGGATGTGCCATTCAACAAGAGGTTGAATTGCTGAGCATGCTAAAAATGGAACTTTGTCTTTGATGGGCGCAAGAGGCCAAGGCTGAAGGACTCCAGAGCCCAAGAAGATAGAGGAAGGGGGGCTTCTGGAACAGCTGAGGGACAGTGGTGAGTGGAAGGTGGAAAAAGACCTGGCTAGGAGAAAGTCCTTATGGAATGGATGTTTAACATAGTAGTGTCTAGGACTCCAAAATTATGTCATCTTTTCTGGCCTGTGCTGTGTGATCTGGCTTCAGGCTCTCAAACCTTCAGTAAGCACCTACTAGCCCTGTGCTAGCAGTGCCCTGGGAGGATAAAAAAAAAATGGGTGGTTGGCTAGCCCACGAGGACTTTGAGGAAGAACTGCTGCAGCCTGAGGATGGGGAGGCCCAGAGCTCCATCCAGGAGTCAGGGGCAACCAGAAAAGTAGAGGAAGGGGTGACTGGGAGAAATGCAGGCCCCAGAGAAAACTCAGGATATTGGGGTTCCATAGTAAGTGGGTGGGGTCCAAAACACACCATTCGAATAGTAAAGGGAAGAAGTCTAAGTACACTGGGCACATTCAGGCCACAGACAGTTGGTTTACGCTCACACTTCAGCTTAACCTCTGACACACAGGAAGGCAACAGCCCAGTTCTTTGTTCTAATTCAACGAGGCTCAAACTCCCAGAGACCTGCAACGAAGATGCTTCCTGGATGCTCCCAGGAAAGATGGCGGCTCACTATCTCCCAGCGTAGTTCATTCCATTTTTTAAAAACTACCCATTATTTTAAGCTTTTCTTTGCCCTGCAGTAAAATAAGCTTTTCTATAATTTGTAGTCATTAATTCCAATTCTGTTCTTTCTGTTAATTCACAGAATTGTTCTTATCTTTCTTCATGATAATCCTTAAGGAACCTTCTAGTCACTGCTCTAGATTATAAACTCCTTGAGGATGGAATTTGTCCATTTATTTAATCCTCACTCTAGGATATGTTTATTGATTTGAGAGAGAGAGAAAGGGAGAGAGAAAGAGAGAAGGAGAAGCATCTATGTGAGAGAAACATTGATCAGTTATCTTCTGTATGCACCCAAACCAGGGATTGAACCCACAACCTAGGGATGTGCACTGAACAGGAATTGAACCCCAACCTTTTGTTCTACCAGATGGCACTCCAACCAACTGAGCAACCTGGCCAGGTTGAGGAGAGGGATATATTTATATTCTAATGACACACCTAATAATAGGAAGGCATGTTCTCTCAGTTTGTACTTCCCACTACACTGAGCGTGGTCCTTTGCACATCACTGGTACTTATGAAAATAAGAATGAATACACAAGTGAAATGTACCTTGAACACGTTATTTATTCTCCCTCCCCAAATTCTTCTTTTCTAGATCAGTTGTCAGCAAACTTTTACCGTAAAGGGCCAGATAGTAAATACTTTAGACTCTCAAGACAGAGTCGTCTCTGATACATATGCTGCTTTATTTTATGTTGCAACACCCTCGACATATAAAAGCCATTTTTAGTTCACTGGCCCTACAATAAAGAGCCCGCAGGTGGGGTTTGGTTCACCATCTGTACAATAAAGAGCCCGCAGGTGGGGTTTGGTTCACCATCTGTAGCTGCCGACCCCTGATCTAGACGAAACAACACTAAGGCTCTCTACCGTATGACTTGGTTCCTGGAACTCTCCTAATTCTGGTTATCTTCCCATGGACACTCCCTATTTTAATAAATTTCCTCTTAAAAGACAGCCTCGAGTGGTGAGACCCCTCTACCTCAAGGTGGTTGGTGTGAATGCGCCTGATGCAGTCGCCACTCAATCCAAGCATTTATTCTGAAGTCAGAGGACCGTGCTCAGCGCCCTGAGTAAAACAAATGAGTGGAAGAGATGATTGTGGCACTGGAGAAATTTATAATGGAACTGAAGTGACAAGCTCTACACGCAGGAAGCAGCATGCATGATTTGTGCTAGATAAGTGTTGCAGGGACATGTCTTAAGTTCTTGGGGAAGCAGATGGAAAGGGGCCTGCACTACAGATAACCGCTATTTCTTGAGTGTTTACCAGACAGACTGCTTTACACCCCTTATCTTTTTTATTACTCAAAACAACTAGGAAGTGGGGACTATTTCTATCCCTGTTTTACAGGTGAGGTTTGAACAGTGGAAGTGGACTCCCCAGGCCGTGTTGCTAGAGCGTGGTAGGGAAAGAGCCCTTCGCTCCGTCCTGGCCAAACAGCAGAGCCTGGCTCTTGCTTCCAGGCGCTGCACGGGCCGGGGATCCCAGGGGACGTTTCTTCTTCCTAGTGCTGTACCTCTCTGGGCTAAGACAGCCAGGAATTCCTCCAAGAAACTCCTCTCGGGCTGAGTGCTAGCATTAAAAAGTGTAGGTAGAATGGGGCTGGCTGGCTAGGAGATCAGAAAACAACACCAGTGAAAAAGATAAAACTGAGGGTCTATGAAAAGCAAGACCAACTACAGGAAAATCCAGTCTCTGAAAGTACAGAAATGGAGTTATTCAGGTAGCAGACTTTTCTGCATTGCTGAGGATTTGCAACCTCCCTCCACCCCCACTTCAAAGAGTAGCAGTATCTTCAATGTGCTAGTTGTAGTTAGAAATCTTATAAGAATGTGTTTAATGAGCCTCTGCTTCCTTAAGTGTAACCCCCCCACCCAAAAAGAGGACTTTAACCTTTGTGAATCAGATGTATCATGAAAATAATTTGGTCATTGCGACACTGGAATACTTACCGAGGTGTACATATTTGTTTATTCCTACCATAAATGATTCCAGACTTGTGTGGGTTTTGATACTCATGTATGTTTTTCATTTGTTTCTGTTCCTTCATTTTTAGCTGCTGCTTTTCCTTCTTATTTGTTCCTAAGAGACTCTTTCTAATTTTGAGCTTCAGCTAGTATATCAGATAACCAAGCTTGATAGCACTATGTGTAAAGCAAGAATGATTGCCTCTGCAGAAGCACCTGCAAGTTAAATGGAAGACTTTTACCGCATAAATTGTGCGGCATCTATTCTGGCTTCTTAGGATCCTCATTTTGCTAACTTCTGGAGACCTTGTCTTCTCCCCTTGCTCCAAGTTCAAGAGTTGAGATAAAATTGGGTACCTAGAGTTAAATTGGGTTCTTAGGGAGACACAGTTAATACAGATGGAATGAAAAGAAAACAAGAGAGAGAACCTTTCCTTCTGTTTTAAGTTATACTATCATGTGGTCTGCTGCGTTTAGTGTAAGAGCTCTGCCTTCGGTCTAGAATGGAATGGAGTGCAGGTGTCATCAGTCACGTTTTAGAATCTGACTGGGGGTTACTGCTCCTGCCCTGCAGAGTAGGGGATCAGAAGTTTTAAAAAATAAAGGTCAGGTTTGAACATTGAATGCCACGGATGTGTGTGGGAAGTAGTATTAAGAAGACGTCTGTGGCCCATCTTGATTCGTAATAAAGGTTGTTTCTTCAAGACCTCAGTCTCTCCATGGAAACGGACTCTTTAAAGGGGGCCCTAGCGGCTGTGAAACTAAGAGACTCCTCACTGACAGTCCCCATATTGCACAGCTAGGCCAGGACTGTCTCCCAGGGCCCTGTAATAGTGTCTTCTATCCCTACCCCAGCTTTCCCATGCCCTGCACTCAGCCTTGCCTGCTCCCCCACACTCCCCTTCCAGTTTCTCTAGTCTCAGAAGCTTCCTTACTCACCCTAAGCCCAGGGACATGGGTCTGAGGTTGGGGTCCCCTTGTCATTTGCAGATGGACCCTGCTACAAGTTCCTCAGTGCTTGGCTGGACGGTGGGTGGGAGGAGGCTGCTGCAGCTGGGAGCCTGACCCTAGTGGGTTGGTACCTGGCCTGGGCCCAGGGTTGCTTCACTCATCTGGCACAGGCACCTCTGTCCTCAGAACTAGCAGTAGGTCTCTCTCCACATCTGGAAAAGTTCAAAACTCGTTGTCTGGGTGAAGGAGGCCCTGGGGGAGGGGGTTCAAAAGCATGACATCACGTCAGCGAGGCCCAGCTTCCTTTGGGAAGAGAAAAGGGCTGGGCCAGGCTGGGCCAGATGGGATTCCCAGGAATTGATGTATTAAGGGGAAGAAGAGGAAAGGGTGGGCAGGAAGGATAATATCAAGAGGGAGTTCCAGTGGTGCCTTGGAATGGTACCTTGAGAGGATGACCCTTCAGCTCAGTTCCTACCACCTGCCCCCTACAGGGAATCCAAACCTTCAGGTCAGATTGCCGAGAGGGCCCTATTTAAGGGCAGAAGACAGAATGTGCTTCCTTCCCCATCTATCTTATTTTGTTAAATTTACCCCCTGCCTAAGGCAGACAAGAGTATCCCCATTTGTCTTCAGAGTGTGGAGGATGCATACTGGCCCTTAGCAGTTTAGACTCCCTGACCCTCTACTTAAGAGTCAGCTAACCCGCTGTGGCCCTATTGCCCCTCCCCACGTGAACTATGGCCTTCCCGCTCTGCCCAAACCCTGGTGATTCAGGCTCTCCTCTCTAACGTGGAGATAGCAATATCACTTGTCCTCCTGCTCACCTGCCACATAATACTAACACGGATTGTTGTCCTCACCCTTAATGTCAGTCTTGCAGCAGGTTGCGGGCATATATGGGGCAGTGAGCCTTGTTACCACCTAGGGGAGACGTTCTTGGCCCAGGTTAACTGCTCTGAAACTGAAGACTCACTCCCCTCTTGTTGCTGAGGGAGAGGGTAGGTGTCATTGTACACTGCTCTTTACCTGGAAACCTCTGAAAAATAAACACCTTGCTCTCAGTCAGGAAATGTAGAGACAAGCTTTAGGGATCCTCAAGAGCTTTCTCTTGAGGCTGGTACGGCTGAGTGTGAGCTGTGGGTACCAAGTCCACCGCTGACATTTATAGGATTCAAGCCAAGGGGACAGTGGAGGCCCACATACTGTATGTCTAAATACTTCAAAATTATAAATCAGGCCAGTTAACTGGTAGATAGAATATGTTCTATTCTCAGACCTTGAAAACCATGTCTTCAGAGCCACCTGAAAGGCCAGGTCTGAATGGAGACTCTCACAACCCTGGTATACTCTCTGGTACTACAGTTCACCCTCAGAGGGATGGGCTGGGGGAAAAGGCCCATGCGGGTCCTCAAGTGAGCGAGACGTTCCAGGCCTCCTGGTCCCCGGCATATGGTCTGGAAGAGAGGACAGCTCCCCGTTGGCGCCATGGACTCCTTGTGGTTTGGGGAAGGGTGGGTGGGAGGAGGAACAGAGTGTGGGCTCCCAAGATCAGGGTCCAGTCAGAGAAGTTCTCCTCTCTGGGTCTAAGGATGGTGCTGCAGGGTACCCCAGGAAACATGGAAGGTCAAGGTCCCTCGTCAAGATCTGCCAAGAACAACTAGATCCAGGGACACCTATATTATAGCAATTTAGCATTTATCTCATTGATTATCCCATGAATCTACACAAAGAAAACCCCTCATTTTAGAGATTCATAAACAGACACACACACACACACACAATTGCAGAGTTACTGGCAGAGCCAACATTTAGCTCTTTCTCCTCTTAATGCATCTGATGAGAAACTGGGCCTGATGTTCTCTAGTTCATCAGCTGGATTTCTAGGGCGGCACTTCCTGAAAGAAACCTTGGGGTTGCTTGCTGCAGTTCTTCAGCCAGAGGAAAGCAGAATAGGTTTAAAGGCCAGTCAGGAAAGAATGAGGGGAGTTTGGGAATGAGAAAACCTAGGAAGAATGAAAGATTTTTAAGGGGATTGCAAACAGAATGGTGTGAACCTAGTGATTACTCCAAAAATTAACATGGTGCATGGACAGTGACAAAAAGGGAGGATACATTAAAAAGGCAAAAGAGGTACATTTAGATCTTCACCATGTTGTTCCAGGCATAATTTGGTATTTTAATATTTTACTTAACATGTTGTGAACAAAGGCTCACATACTCATGCTGCTATAGATTTTTCCATAATTTTTTCTTTGTAATGATTATGGCATCTTAGGTGCACATGCTGTTTATCCTGCTGTAATTTATTTAGTTGCTTACAACTTCTCCCTCCTGTAGATAATCCTCCTTTATTGGTAGATAACACCACCCAAGACACTTGGTGCACACAAGCTTTTCCTTACCCATTTCCTTAAGAAAAATCTAGTAGTGGGAGGTTACGGTCATTGCCTGTCCAGGAGGATGTTCTTGTTGCTGTCACCTTGCCAGGAGACAGGAGATGTTCTGACGCTTCACCAATTTCTGTGTCCTCCTTGTGCAAGGGCCGTGCTAATCTCTGTCGTTTCAATTTTTACATTTGTGCTGCTGAAGTGAGTGCAAGATCTTCTAGATGGATTCTACTTGAAGTCAAGAAATTGAATTAGGTGATGCCATGAATCTCAAGGACCATTTAGGTTCTGACTTTTCCTCTTGTTTCCCCACAGCCTCTGGATTCACAAATACAGATAACTCGACGACAATTGCCACAGAGCCACCTACTTCACAAATACCGTCAGTTGCTCCTGTAAATGTGTCCAGGAACAACCAGGAAGTCATAACACCAACTACTTTTGAAAAAAATACCACCTTGTACACTGTCTCTCAGGACAGCGGTGGGACCACAGCAGCCATCTCAGGTAAAAAGGGGTTGTCTTGGGCCCCCAAAGGGTGCTGCTGGTGCCTGGGTAAAGCATCAGGATATTGGCAGGCCACCCTTCCTTCCCTGCCCGCCCCCATAGATAGAAACATAAAAGTCCCATGTAGTAATGGCTAGGGCATCATGTTTAGGGTTCCTTGAAGTAAGTTCTAGATAATTCTTCCCACAGAGACAGTTTTCTCAGGCCAATGCCTTGGCAGCTGATCTTGATCAGTAATGAGTTCAGCTTAATGATACAATAAGGGTTAGATGAGAACTCCTTAGATCTCTCATCTCTTCTAAGTGAAGGTATGTACAGATTCATATTGGGGGTCTTTGACTTCTGTAGGGTGGACCAGCATCCAGTTAAGTTTCAGAATCCCGAGGGCATCTCTAGTACATTCCAGATGAAGGCTCTGGTTCCAACAGCTGGTTTGAAATGAGTTTGGTAACACTTAGATCCCAAAATTCCCTTTTCGGGGTTGAAGTCCATGCCTATGTCATTGTCTATAAAGTCTTCACTCACGACAGTGAACTGAGATATGTGTGCGTGTGTGTTTATGCAAATGTGCCCAAATGCACACTGGTGTTTTGGTCTTTTTCAGAGACTACAGTCAACTTCACATCTACCTCTGGGACCACCCCAGTTCTTGGAACCACGAACTCCTCTGTCCAGACACAGACCTCTTTAATCATCACAGTGTCTTCCACCCCAGCCAACCTTTCAACTTCAGCAATGACCTTGGAGCCCAGCATGTCACATGGAAATATTTCAGACCCCCCATACAGTAGCACCAGTCCTGTGACATTTCCCACTAAACCTTATACATCATTTTCTCCTACCCCAAGTACCATCAAGGTGGGTGAATTAGGCCAAAAACGGCAGATTGCCCCTTCACTTCATATGTATACAAGCTTTCTGCTTCCTTAACTTTTCCTCATCCCAATTAATGAGGTTTAAGTAGTTAAGAATCAGCACAAAAAAACATGCAGCTTAAATATTGCTGGAAGGGGTAAAAAAGAGAACGGAGGGATGGAGTAAGGTGGCGAGGCTGACCTATGCCATGGAAATTGCATTTCCAGGGAATAGAGAATAAAGGGAATTCTCTGAGATCCATCCAATCCTCAGTGATTTTTTTCTAGTACCTCCTGATCTGAACTTTGACCAGGGTACCATTCCCCTTTGGCCATATCTGGAAACCATCTTCCATTTAATGGGGCTGTTTTTCCCAAAATGTCTAGGACAAATACCATTTCCTCTGTGTGAGAGGGTCTGGTGGTTGTGCCAGGCATATACGGGCAGAGAGGAACTAAATAGACTAGGAATAGTGAGCTCCTGTGGAACCTGGGAGCAAGCATTTAGGGGCCATCCTGGTTTCCATTTTTTAAAGGAGCCAGAAAAGGAATCTGTAGAGTTCTAGGGGCCAGGAGGAAAATGAAGGTCCCCTGTATCTGCCCAGCCACCCCATTATCTGTTTGCCTGCATGGATGTTGGTACTGCAAGTAAATAATTCACTGGATGAAAAGCAGCCCCAATGGGATAAGATTCTGTCTTCTACCATCTGTGCACCACCCATGCCAATGTTTACCAAGTCTGCAAATAGCTACTTGCCTGCAAGCCCGGGCTAGTAACAAAGGTTTTAATTATCTCCTGGGGATAGAAGGTAAGGTGGAGGAAGAGCGCATGGCTATTATAAAACGCTAGTCCCCTAACAAATTAAAAAGTTTCCTTTTCTCTAAAATCTCTTGAGAACGAACTTCACAGAAATCACACTGGAAAAGAGGTGGGGAACAAATGAGACCCAGAAATGCTGGCTTATTTATTTTGCTTGTGTTTTAATACAGGGAGAAATCAAATGTTCTGGAGTCAAAGAAGTGAAATTGACCCAAGCTATCTGCCTGGAACTGAATGAGACCTCCAGCTGTGTAAGTCAAACACCCCCCACCCCACTCCCATTCCTTGCCCGTCCCTCTCCTCCCACAATCCCCTCTGCAACCTCCTTAAGCCATTTCCAACTAATTTTGTTGGGGGGCGGGGAGCTTAGCAGAGTCAGACTACTTAAAACACCCAGCTTTGGGTTTAGGGTGTCAGAGGCCCCATCTGGTGGACAAAGAAGGCAAAGACAATTTTATTTAAATTTAGTAGTCACTTCTTATCTCAGTAATACATTTAACATACATAGTCATATTCCAGTTTGTTTTTATGCTAAGAAAGTCCTTCATGAAATATAAGTCACCTAAAATATTAATTCCTTTATTATATTTATTTACATATAACTTTAATCCTTATAGAATTTTTTTCTGTAAAGCTCTATTTTCCACTTAACCATTTTTCCTAACATTATTTCTTTCCGTGTTGACAGGATGCTTGTTTTAGCTTATATTGTTCTGACATTTCACAGGATATATTCTTGACATAGTTTACTTGTTCAGTTCATCTTTTTTTGCCTATTTAAAAAAAGAAGTACAAACAGGTAGTTACAGAATAGCCATGAGGATGTAAAGTACAGTATAGAAAATGGAGTAGCCAAAGAACTTACATGCATGACCCATGCACATGAACAGTGCTGTGGGAATTGCCTGATGGAGTAAGGGTATTGGGTGGATGGGGGAAAACTGGGGCAACTATAATAGTATAATCAATAAAATGTAATTAATATGTAAAAAATGTTAAGATTTTGCTTTTTAATTTATTTTATTATGTTTTTTCCCATTATCGTCTATCCCCCTTATATGCTCTTCCCCCATCAATCACCACACTGCTGTCTGTGTCCATGAGTCCTTTTTCCTTTTTGCTCAATCCCTCCACCCGCTAAGCTCCCCCAACCCCACTAGCTGTCATCCGCTCTCCATCTAGGAGTCTGTCTGTGTTTTCCTTGTTAGTTCAGTGTGTTTATTAGATTCCATGGAGGAGTGAAATGATATGGTATTTGTCTTTCTCTAACTGGCCTATTTCACTTAGCATAATGTTCTCCAGGTCCATCCATACTGTCAGAAAGAGTATAATTTTCTTCTTTTTTATGTCCGAGTAGTATTCCATTGTGGAAATGTCCCATAGTTGTTTTCTCTACTCATCTAGTGACGGACACTTGGGCTGCTTCCTCATTTCGGCAATTGCAGATGCTGCTGCAGTGAACATGGGGGTGCTTAAATGGAACACTTTTGCACTGGGGGTGGGGACGCACATTGGAGCAGCCACTGTGGAAAGCAGCAGGGAGATAACTCAAAACATTAAAAATGGAACGCCTTATGACCCAGTGATTCCATTTCTGGGAGCGTGTCCAAAGAAACCCAAAATACTAAGCCTATTTTAAATGTTTAAAAATGATTGTACTTTTACATTACAATACTTTTAATATCTAGCCAGGCAGCTCTTTGCTCACTACACTATAAAAAGTGAAAAGTATTTTTTATCTCTATGCTTTTAGAAAACTTTAGGAACATCTTGTCAAGATTTTTAAAAAACATTAAAATTTTCATTGAAACTGGTCTAAAATTTCTTCATTTTTTTCCTGGTCTTCTCTTGTATTGTTCAGCATATTGATTTTTTAGTTTTTAAAATTTTTAAGTGTTTTATAGATTTCTTAATATATATTTATAATATATACTTTTCATCATGTTTTCCAATTGATTATTGCTGGTATATTAAAAACATAACTGAGTTTTGAATATTTATCTTGAGGTCAGTCATTTTGTTTTACTTGCTTATTAATAATTCCAGGAGCTTTTTAGTTGATTCTTTTTTGTGTTTAAGGTACAAGATATTGTTTTTCTCCCCCTTTTTGGTAGTTATGCCTCTTGTTTCAGTTTCACGTCTTATTGCATTGGGAAGACCATCAGCATGGTGTTAATTTTTAATGATAATGACAGACCTCCTTGCTTTGTTTCAGTAAATCTAGTTTCCTGACTGTAATAAGGCTCTGGATGAAGGATAGAATGGCAGGGAGAATGGTATTTATTCACAATAAAAAAAAACCATTTTCCTACAAGTTGAGAATTCGTTCAAGGGAGCCATGTATGTGATAAGTGACATGCGTAGACTGGAAAAGGGCTGGGAGAAACTGTTTTGTAGAGTGCACTAAGTTACTTATTTTGTCCATTCTGACTACTGATGTCTACCTGTGATTATCAGCTGAGGGACTCTGATTCACAGATCTTTTAAAATTATTCCTAAGATAACTACTTAACTTAGGACTTTTAAAAACAAAAGTTGTGAAGACCTGAGTTCACACAATGGAACAAATAAGTACAATTTGCAAAATAGTTAACTTATATGTGAACATAAAATGCACAAGTAATATTCCATGTGTGTCTGATGCTGACTTTCAACCCTACTCATTTTTTAATGCCAAGCACTTTGCTAATTATAGGTAAGGGAGAAAAATCTCTGTGTCTCTCTTTTCTCTATCATCTTGGTTGAGCACTTTTTTTCCTGTGTGTTACATGGGTCTCTGCCAGGATGCTCATTCTTTGCACCAAAGAATTAGAGCTAGTTGCACAGCCTTCTAGGTGTCTGGCCATTGCTCTTCACAGTTCACATTTAACCAAGATCATCATACAAGGCAAATCCCAGAAACTTACCGCTACTCTAGAAATAACTCATCTTATGTTGCTATTGGCCTCTTTCACCCTGTGGTCTTTACTGTCTAATCTATTTTGTGGCACAGCTGAGAGGGTCTGCCCTCTGCTCTGAGACTCAGGGGAGATATGAGAGATCTACATTGGGAGTGTGAATGTAGAAAGAGAACAGCTCCCCTAACATAAAGAAGGCTTCTGCTCTGCCTGCAATGAATCAACTCTATGGTAGCACCTATGTAGTGCTATTGTTTCCCTGGCTGTTCCACTGCTATTGATCCCCTTTTCTTCTTGAGGTCCCCTCTTGCCCAGACCCCAAGCAGCAGTGCCTCCTATGACTCTGCAAGGTCATTCTTCCTTAGTCAGCCATCCTTGGCCTAGACTTTTTGGCCACAGCTCCCGATGGTGTCCCAGGTTTCTTTTTCTCAAGTCCTATGTGATTGTCTGATGATCGGTCTGCTCCAAAGGTTGAGTGGTGCAGCATGAATTTTCCTTAGGTTGCATTGGTACTTTTGGTGTCAGAGGCATTAATGTACTGATTCTAACTGTGGGAAACTTAGGCCCTACTCACAGCCTAATGAGAAGCATGAGGGTTTGGATTCCCCTAACATCATGTCCGGAGCACTTACGTAATGTTGGCATGCATCTATATTCCCAGAAGATAAATAGTCATGTATTTCAGTGCATTCTCAGCTAACCAGACACTCATTCTGCACTGGTACACTGAGTATCCAACATGTTAGCTCTCGCTATGTGGACTCTTTAGACCTGTCTTCCATACCTGCATTCTGTAGGCATTGTACTCCAGTCACTTCACTCCATCTTCACTTGCTCCCCATCCTTCATCTCTAGGCAGACATCACCTATATCATCCAGGGAGAGGTAAGGAAATCCCACAGTCTTCTCAGGCACCTGGTACCCTGTCTCCGAACCCTCATGAGCAGAACATGTCACTCCAATTCTGACTTTGATTTTCTCCGCTGCCACATCAGGTTAATTAAGTCTTTGTGGTTGTGGCTTCTCAAATTGTTTCTAAATTGTGAGGTTACTTTTTTCTCTTATGGCATGCCCATTTGTCCAAAGAAATCTACTGAAAAAAAATATTTAATGGCATTAAAATACATATACTTAACCATTTTTAAATGTAGAGTTCAGTAGTGTTAAGTAGATCCCCATTGTTGAAAGCCAGTCTTCAGAACTCTTTTCATCTTCAAAAACTAAAACTCTACACCCATTAAACAATTTCCCATTCTCCCCCCCTCGTAGCCCCTGACAACAACTATTCTACTTTCTGTCACTATGAATTTGAGTACTCCAGGAATGTCCCATGCATTGAACCATACAGTATTTATCTTTTTATGACTGGCTTGTGTCAATTAGCATAATGCCCTCAAGTTTCATCCATGTTGTAACATGTGTAAGAATTTCCTTCCTTTTTAAGACTGAGTAATTTTCCATTGCATGTATATGCTACATTTTGTTTACCCATTCATCCACTGATGGACACTTGGGTTGCTTCCACATTTTGGCTATCTTGAATAATGCTGTTATGAACATGAGTTCACGAATATCTCTTCAATGCCCTGATTTCATTTCTTTTGGTTATATACCCAGAAATGGAATTGCTGGGTCATAAGATAATCATATTTTTTATAATAGCTGCACCATTTTACATTCCCATCAACAGTGCAAAAGGGTTCCCATTGCTTCACACCCTTGTTATTTTCTGTTTTTTCTTTTTATAGTAGCCACCCTAATGGGCATGAAGTGATATCTGATTGCAGTTTTGGTTGGCATTTCTTAATGATTAAAGATGTCCAACATCTTTTCGTGTGTTTATTGGCCATTTGTATACCTAATTGGAGAAATGTCCATTTAAGTCCTTTACCCACCAACATGGTTTTTAGAACTACCTTTCTTAAGAGTCACATTTGTTTATACGCAGAGGCTTTTATTTATTTGGCCAGCTCACATCACCCTTATTCTGTCACATTGGCTTCATCTGAGGCAGACCGCCTCCAGCCCCCACATCATAGCCCCCAGCCCATGCCTTCCTTGCCCTATGCCCAAGCACTAAATGTCAGTTTTTTTTTCATGCAGAAAAAATAGCTTACAGATGGAGGACTGGTGAAGACAGCATATGGCTTGAAAAGAGCCTGAAATCTGGAGACAGCCTAACTTCTCGCCCTTGGTCTACTGCCCACTTGTTATGGAACTTTTAGCAGGTCCTTTAATTAGGTTAGAACCTATTTGAACCCATGCTGTCAGATGTCAAACTCACACCAAAGTAGATAAAGTTATTTAAACAGAGAGAGGGAGGGTGGGAGGGAGAGAGAGAGAGAGATTGAGAGACTCAGCATTGGGAAATACCTTAGAAAAATAACTGTCCTCTCCCCATTTTAATGCTTAACATGCTTCTTCAACATGTTAAGAGTCTTTGCAAAGTTTGAAGGTGTTACTCTAGAAAGGTCGGATGGTTTTATTATTGTGGTTATTCTTTTTGCAAAGTAACTTGTGTGAGCAGGTAAAGTTAGGGGCTCACAAACCTGATTCTCATGAGCAAAATAGCAACGCTGTGGCTTCCTCCTGCCCACTCTCCCATGATGTCTGCCCACAGCCTCTCTTGGGGGAGGATGTTTATTTCAAGCATCCGGAGAAGCATTGTGCTTTGTTCAGGATCCACCTGCTCCTCCCCAGGCCCAAACACAATTCACTGATGCTGCTGGAATCCAGAGTGGGAGGCTGGCCGCTATTATTCCCTTGAATTTAGTCCAAGAACTAAGCAAAGAGCGGAGGGACTCCATGTGAAGGCCAAACCAGTTGGGCTGTTAGGTTGAACAACAATGCACTGAGTTCTTTTGTTTATTTGGTGCTATGCTTAGTTGAGTCTGGGTTCCAAATGATGTAATACACACCTGCTGTCAACATTAAAGAGTCTTACAGTCTAGTCAGAGAGAAATGGCAATAACGGTAAGGCAGAATAGGACTGAACATCAACATGTGGATGCTAGATGTTATAGTATATAAAATATTGATTACTATTATTAACAGTAATAATAATTACTATTTTTAGTGACATTTTCCCAGTGCCCGTGGGGTTTCAAACACCTTTTTAGGCACTCTTCACACAACACCTGACTCACCTCAACAGCTCAGTCTTCAGTGTTTTAAGGAACCTGATTCTCAGACAAGTTGCATGATGTGCAAAGAATCTATTAAAGAGCAGAACAAAGGTTGATGCCCATTCTGATGGTGGGGAGGGTAGGACCAGCTTCATGGAAGAGGTGGGATTTGAGTGGATTCTTGAGGGGTGGGAATCCAAGGGAAAAGGCAGTGTTCTTCCCTTGTGACCGGGGTTGGGACAGGCTCGTGCCTCCTCATGGTGGTGCCGCCAATCAAAGGTCTTTCCCCACCAGCCCCTCCTGTATACTTTCTTCAAGGCCTATATTGAGATGTTTCTGACAACCCCAAACCAGCTGGGTGCTCACCCTCCTTTGAATGTCATAACATCTTGTTTTGTTTTTAGAGAGAGGGGGAGGGAGGAAGAAATAAAGGAAGAGAAACAATGACCGGTTGCCTCCCCTATGTGCCCTGATGGGGGACCAAACTTGCGACTCATGCATGTGCCCTGACCCGGAACTGAATTGGCGACCTTTTGCTTTGCAGGACAATGACTAACCCACTGAGTCACCTGGTCAGAGCAATGTCATAGATCTTAGTTGTACCTTTCTTTGGTAAACTAGCTCTGTGAACTTTTAGTCTCTTTGTGCCTCAGCTTCTCCATCTATGAAATGGGGAAGGTGATAGTACCCACTCATAGGGTTATGTGAGATGTAAATGAATGAATATGTATAAAACACTTAAAACAGTACCTGAAACATAGTAGACTTTGCTTACTTTCATTGCCATGCACACGAACTGAGAGCTTGGGCGTGTAGACTTCATGCCACCCTCCTCCCCACACATACAACATGAGACATACACACAGGTTTTCACACAGTGTCTTATACTCAGGGCTTGATACACTGCAGGACAGCTGACTCTGACTGAGGCGCAGCTTCTTAGGACTCAGTGAACTGAGGAAGGTGCCCTTTTGTTCGGCTTGTTTTGATGGACAGGAGCCCTGCCCCTCCGCCTCTCTCAGGAAGGAGACATACTCTGATCAGAGACATGTCAGAAGCCCAGTCATCCAGGCAGGACTTCCCTCCTTTTCACTCGGAAGGCACGTGCCAGGGCGGGCTAGTGCTCAGGCGAAAGCCATGCGCAGCTCTCAGAAGGGAGACAGGCCTAGAGAGGAAGGAGGGTGCTGATTGTATCCAGTATGGAGTCCAGATACCTACAGCAACTGCCATTTTAAAAGCCAGATTTTTCCAGAAGCAGAGCCTCTATCCAAGGGCTTAATAAGGGACACCTGCAGAATTAATCCATTTCCTGAGGGGTGAAGCAGCAGTGGCCTGAGAATTCATTTCTCTGAGACCTCAATTCCTGGCGGCCTTCCAAAACTACCGTTGAACTCACCTCTCTGTGACTTGGAGGTTAGCTAGCCCTGCTCTCGTGGCCTCGCCCAAGCCCAGTGAGTTTCACTCAGCTCCCTACAATTCCAGCTGATGGAAGAAACCAGGGGCCTGAGGCCAATCTTGACCTTGCTGTGTGCAAGAGCAAAGGAGCCTGGGTTTTCCTGCCTTGGGCCACAGCGGTAGGAAAATACCCAGGCTGCGTTCCAAGCTGGGAGGGCCCTTTGGCCTTGCCGCAGAAGCAGTCCTGCCTGCAAACAGGAAGCTTTCTCCTCCACGGAGGCTCAGTTCTGATGGCCCTCACATGCCCCAGCAGTTTTCCCCCAATGGGAAAGTTGTCAGAGCTGTTCAGGCATTTCCTCCTCAACCATCTGCCATCCGGACAGAGGGGAGAGTTGGTTTCTGTTCCTTGCCTGTGCAGGGGAGGCAGCTGTGATTGGAGGCTGCTGGAATAAATCCTGCAAGGTTCGAGAGCAGGGTGTTGGAAGGGCACAGCCAGTGCTGAAGAGTTACTAGAGTTTGTCTTCTGTGTCTGAGTTCCCAAGCAGGACCCAGTTCCTGAATATAGGACAGTCAGCAACCTGGAGGAAGATCTATTAACCCTAACAGCATGGGTGCAATGGTTTCAATGGGAAAAGGGGATGGGAGACTATGAAAAAAGACCATTTCTATTTGACCCATGACTTTTGTGAGACCCCTTGGAGAGTAAGAGGGAAGGGGCGGACCCGGGATCCTTTGGAGTCTACAGTCATAAATTTGGTTTCCACTCCTCACCTCTTTGCTTTTCTCCTAACACCTGGGGCTGTGGTAGCCTAGAAACAAAGCATTTTCTCCTCAGCATTGCACTAGTAATACTTTTTTGTTATTGGTAATCTCTCTGAATTTAATTTGAGGAGTCTATGGGGGCATAGACAATCCTTAGATAAAATGGTATAGTATTTCATAAAGTTGTTCGCTGGCATCTTACATGGAATCTTACATCTTACATCAAACATGGATATATGGTTTGGTGCTGAGAAATTTTTAAGTGTTTTTTTTCTTATTGTGTGCTTGCATACATATAGTTGACAGTGGCTTTTTTTCCAGCTGAAATTTTAGAAAAAAGAAACCTCTCTATAGAGGATTTAACCAGAATCATTTTTGAGACTCTAGACACATCTCTTGCTTGTCATTTTTCTCTATCTTCCCAGGAGGACTTTAAGAAGGAAAATGGAGAGGAACTAATCCAAGTCCTGTGTGGGAAGGACCAGGCTGAGGCAGGGGCCGGTGCATGCTCCTTGCTCCTTGCACAGTCGGAGGTGAGGCCTCACTGTCTGCTGCTGGTCTTGGCCAACAGAACAGGTAAGGGGCACATCTGTCTTGGGGCCTACGAAGGGAGTGGGGCTGAGGGTAGAGGATGCTGGGTGGAAATCAGGCATCTTAGCACAGAGAGTGAAGGTGCTGGGGAGAGGGGCTGGGCTGACTTTGGGAGAGGCCCTCCTGAGATGAGCCATTTGGCCATAGGAGCATCTTCTGAAACAGCTTAGGAGGATAGAGCAGGATGAGCTCGTTCAGCTTCTAGATTCAGCACCTCCTCTTTCTAATTCTAGAACTTTTCAGCAAGCTCCAACTTCTCAAAAATCACCAGTCTGACCTGAGAAAGGTAAGTTCTCTCAGATGAGGGGTCGGAGTACTCACTGGAGTAGGGGAGAAAATAATGACCTTCTCCAGACCTGCCCTTCCTTCCTCTCCATCCCTTCTCCAACGGTCTTTACTTTTCTGTGCTTGAACCCGAATTTTACAGTGCAGCTTAATTTAGAGATGTCAATCTTAAATCCTGTTTTAGAAAATCCCTGAGGTCGGTGTCTTCCTGTGTTTATTCATTGTTTGGTCACACACAGAGGTCTGGTGTGGGTTGGACTCCTTTCTAGGACCCACATTCTGCAAGTGACTCGGTTGTATTTTCTGCATCTTCTCTTCAAGCTGGGGATCCAAGACTTCACTGAACAAAATGTCGGGAGCCACCAGAGTCACTCCCGAAAGACCCTGATTGCTCTGGTCACCTCGGGGATCCTGCTGGCTGTCTTGGGTACCACTGGCTATTTCCTGATGAACCGCCGCAGTTGGAGCCCCACGGGAGAAAGGCTGGTTAGTTCTGGGGCCCAGGCCAAAGGAAATGAGGAAGAGAGTGGTTTTCTGGGGAGGTCCAGGAATGTCATGTTGGGGAAGGAGAAATCCCGGAAAAGGCTGTCTGTGCCTTTGCATAGAGACACGCATGTGTGCATGTACCATGTCCTTGGATGAGTCAAAACAATATACAGGGTGGGGCAAAGTAGGCTTACCGTTGTTTGTATGGAAAATAATACAACAGTGAATACATAACAATACAAAAATAAACTGCGTTTGTGTACTCACAAATGTAAACCTACTTTGCCCCACCTTGTACAGCAGATTAGAGAGGGGACACTAACTGGGACTGGCCCACCTCACTGTGGTAATAGACAGTTCATGTCACAAAGTTATTATTTTCCCTGGGCTAGTTCATCTGGGTACAACCAGAACAGGCTGTTGAAGCAGCCACTTATTTGCAGCTTTAAACGGCCATGGGCACTGCTTGGCTCACAAGGGGCTATGTGAAGGGAAAACCAATGTTTGAAGTGTTCTGGATAAGGAAGGATGAGGCTGGGGCTTGACTTGCGGTCTCTGGCCTGGGGAGGTTGTCCACCCTGGGACTGCCTGTTTTCTGACGGGAGCTGGCTTTTCAGCTGCAGTGGCATGGTGTGGTGCCTCGCCTCTGTCCTTTCTCCTCTAGGAGCTGGAACCCTGACTGCTCTCCGGAAAGAAGGAGTCTGTCTGCACATGCAGCTACATCTCCCCTCCTCCTGTTTTTCCCCCACCAGTGTCTCACTCCCCTGCTTACCAGATAATGCTCCTTTATTTATATACCGTCTAGGGCGAAGACCCTTATTACACGGAGAACGGTGGAGGCCAGGGCTATAGCTCAGGCCCTGGGGCCTCCCCTGAGGCTCAGGGAAAGGCCAGTGTCAACCGAGGGGCTCAGGAGAACGGGACCGGCCAGGCCACATCCAGAAACGGCCATTCAGCGAGACAACACATGGTGGCTGATACCGAATTGTGACTCGGCTGGGTGGGACAAAGCTGGGCAATGTCCTGGAAGGGGCCCTCCCTGCATCTGGCCACAGGTGGCCTCCCTGCTGGAGGTGCCACCCCTTGCCTTCTATCCTTTGCCACTGCACATCCCCCCATCCCCAAGGCCATTCCTGGGGCCCTGCACTGCACCAGAGAGGGGTTCTCTCCACCTTGGGGAGAGGCAGGTAACCCTGCCCCTTATACATTCAGCTTCCTGAACCCAGACTCTGGTCTTCCAAAGCACCCCCACCACAAGCCGCCTCTGTTGCGGGTGACCCAGGTCCTCGTTTTTGTCTTTTTCCAGAGGGGTGAGCAGGGATCCTGATTTCAATGACGGTTGGAAATAGAAATTTCCAGAGATAGGAAGATTGGGTGGATTTTTTTCTGAATAAAAAATGGTGTGTAAATAATGTAATTAAAGTGATAGTGAAACACATTTTCTTCTGTGGCTGTGATCCAGCTGGGTGTGTGCTGAGTGCCAGAGTGGTCTGTGTCTCCATCAGCTCTGACTGGACTGTGCCGTGGTGCAGCAGGGAGGGCCCAGCCAGGGAAGAGCGAGGACCATCTCAGGGAACACGGGTACCCGCCAGGGTGCTACCCCTGGGGGTAAACCTACCAACGACTCCCCTCTCTGGGGGGAGACCGGGAAGGTTCACAGGGAAGCCGGCCATCTTTAGTCACAGAAAGGCAGACCCAAATGCAGCAGGGGCCTTCAGGACGGGGAGTGGCGTGCTGAGGGTGAAGGAGCCATACCATTCTTCGTGAATACCTCTCTGAGAAGAGGTGCGTTTTGGTGACTGGATGCAAAATATGCAAAACGATGTAAAGGAGCCCCACCTGTGCACCCTCTCTTATCCCACACTCCCCTGCCCCTAGCTGGGGGTGGAATGGAACCGTGGGGAGCTTCTGCAGTAGAGAGTAGGCGGCCAGTGCAGGACTCCAGGACGGGTGGTCTCCACCATCAGCACGAGACAGCAGCCTAACTGCGAAATCTTGTGTGGGCACACCAGCGCCTCCCTTGCCCAGACGTCCCACCCCCACCTCAGACCGTAGGAAGTGGGGGAGGCTGAGCTGCCGGACACAACTGAGTAGCTTCAGGAAACCCTCCCGAGTGTGTCAACAGTGGCAGAGGCAGTTGGGGCCGAACAAAGGATCCTTCCATTCTTATCTGACCAGAGCCAGACCTTTCCCTTGAGCCCTGCCCCACCTCCTCTCCCCCCTTGCTTTCTCCAACTGCCCTCACCAGAGGTTCCTCCCCCGGGGAAGAGGGGGCAGATCTACAGCCTTACCCAGAAGGCAATGGCAGAGTGGGCCTGGGAGAAGGGAAAGGTGGTAACATGAAAAGAGGAGTCAGGTTGGCCTTCATCTGTCTAGTCACACATCCTGACAGGAGAGTGGCCAGATGAGCGTCTGGCCAGTTAGAGGTGGCAGGGTGAAGGGGTGGGTACACGTACAGGCTCCCAGGAAACAGGAGAGGAGGAGAAAAGGCACCTGGATCTTGGAAAGGCCTCCAGCCTCAGGCCCAGCCACCTAAATGGTGTTTTATCCTGAGTTTGTTAGAGTGCACAAGGTTTGGGAAGAAGGGGTGCACTCGCGTGTATTTAAGGGATGGGGTAGGGTGAAGGCTGGTTCCCTCCCACCGCCAGACTGCTTGCACTGAAGGGTCTTACAAGCTTTCCAAACTTTCCCCTTGGGCCTAAGCATCCTGGTGCAGCAATGGCTCCACCTGCTGGCCCTGCTGGGCTCCTACTGCTAAGCTTCGGCTCAGCTGCCTCCGTGTTTGGTTTCTGTCCCCTGCCACCTCACCCTCCAACAGCCTAGTCCAGTCGATCTCATATGTGAAGCACACTCAGAAAATCAGTGTTGGAGAGGACTTCAAATATGCAGTAACTCAACTCCCTTATAGTACAGGTGAAGACAACATAAGGCCCATAGAGGGCATGTGGCTTCCCCAGATCACCTGGCATTCTGGTGTCCTGAATTCAAAGCTTTCCCTTCATTATTTCACCCCACGCTTCTGCCAGGCCTCCGGGTTCCTCCAGTTGGATGTAATGAAGCTAGTGAGGGCAGATACTTATCATGTGGGCCTAGTGAGGGCAGATACTTTGGGGGCTTCCCTTCTGGAACATTTCATCAATGTGCAGCCTTCCAGGCCTGGCCAGCCTGGCAGGACCGGAGGCCTTGGGACAAAGGAGAAGCTGAAGATGCCAGGCAGCTGGGAGGCTCAGCTACCTGTGCTGTGTACTAACTACAGAGTACCTACTGCATCGTTATTTATGGAGTGCATACCTGGAAGTACCTCCTGCTGTATTTTCATCTAAGTGGATAAATAGGAATGTCCTCTAGGTCTGGATAAATGGGTCTTCCCTGTCCCATCCCCTTTAAGTAGATCAACCCCACTATTCCTCTTCATAAAGACCCAGGGCAGGTAAGCAACTGCCAGCGACAGAATGCTGTTCCTGTTCCTTAAGTCCCCATCTGAAGAGTTCACAGCCAGTATTCAGCCACTCAGCAAGTCTGACTGAGGGAACACCTAGTGTGGGTCACACACTGTTCTAGAGGTGGGGGACGAGCAGTGGACAAATCCTCACGGAGCTTACAATTCTAGTGGAAGAGAAAGACAATCAACCAACACATTTGTCTAAGTAAATATACAAGTATTAAGAGCTACAAAAAATATAAAAAATTTTGAGAGTAACTATTGGTATTTGACACATAGTAGTTACTCTCAAGGAGGTAGGAATGGAGAGCATAGCTCACTTGAAATAAAGTGAGGAAGTAGCAAGTTCGAAGCCCTGTGATGTAGAGCCTGAAGTGCAAGAAGTGTCGCTAATGAAGGCGGCAACAAGGCCATCGCAGCTGCATCAGAACGTGGGAGGGCGTGAATGACGCAGGCCAGTTACATTAGACCTTTGGGCCTTGGTAAGGAGTTTGGATTTTATTAGTAGACCAGGAAACCATTGGAGGATTTTGAGCAGGGAAGTAATATGATTTGCTTTATTGTTTGAAAAGATCATGCTGATTGCTTAGTGGAGAATAGAGGTGGAGAGGCACGAGTGGAAGGAAGGCAAGCAGGTGGACTACAGTGGTAACAGCGAGAACAATGTTTATGGCTGGAGGCAGAATGATAGTAATGGAAGCGGTGAGATGATGCAGAATTTAAAAGCTGTTTTGAAGGTAGAATTTAAAGGGACTTGCTCAGTCCACTTATTTTTCCAGATCATCATCATAATAATAATAACTAACACTTATTGAGTACTTACTGTATCAAAATGGAGGCTATACCAAAATATAAATAGTGTATCTTATTGAATATTCACAGAAACCTTATGAAGTAGGTACTGTTATCTCAGAATAAAAAACTGAAACTCAGAGAGTAACAAGGGGCTGTGCTAGAAGCTCAGTGGCAGAGGCAAAAAATCAGTAAGATAGGAATTTATCTGAACCCAGAATACTACAAATGCACTAATGCAAGCAAATAAATAAACAGAAACAGATGCAAGACGGAAAGTGAGAAACAACACAAGAAAAGACTAACGTTGCTTTATATGCAGAAAAGGGCAGGACTCCACCTAGCCGGGAAGATCCGGGGCTGGGCCATCTGAGTGGGGCTGCAAAAATAGATAAGACTTGGGCGATGAAAATGGTGAGAACATTTGAGGCTGTTAGAAGAGCACACATGATATGCTGAGATGGGAGGCATAAGGCACTTTCAAAAAACAGTGTGTTCCCAGTATAGCCGAGAAGGATGAGAGAGGAGACGGAGTACCGGAAAGATGTGTGTCAGATGTGGGGCATTTACTGGCAGGCCATGGGGGTTGATTTTATGCAGCAGGAAAGAGAGAGCCATGGAAGAGTTCCCATTTACTCACTGATTTATTCATTTTTTTCAACAAATATTTTTAAGTACTTATTATAAGCCAGGCACCTGGGATAAGACATAATCCCTTCGGTCAAGACCTTATACTGGCAGTGGGAGGAACAGGTGACAGAAGAAGTAGCACTGAGTGTAAGTACTACGGTTTAGCAACTCTGAAGTGGGGAAGGCATGAAAGCCCTGGAAGGCTTCCCAGAAGAGGTGACATCTCAGCTGACCCTAAAGGACAAGCAGGATTTAACAGGGAAAAGAGGATAGAGAAGGGTGTTCCAGGGAGAGAAAGGAGCCTTGGCCCAGGGGCAACAAGAGGGCTGTCATTCCAGGAATGTGAGTGGTTCCCTCAAGGTCCAAGTGGAGAGCATGACTCCCCTTTATATCTCCTACTTCTGTGCTGAGATTTTCTATTTGTTCTTTTATTTCAAGCATGTTATAACTGCCCATGGAAGCCTTTTTATGATAGCTGTTTCAAAAGCCTTGTCAGGCCTTTTCAAAATCTCTGTCATCTCAAGTCTGGTGTCTGTTAATGATCTTTTCTCACTCAAGTTGAAGTTTTTCTGGTTCTTGGTAGAACAAGTGGTTTTCAATTGTGTCTTGGACGTTTGGAGTTTGATGTTAGGAGACTCTGGAGCTTATTTCAGTCTTCTGTTTTAGCAGCACGTCGCTTTCAGACTGCACGGGTGGAGTGCCATTGGGTTACCACCAGGTTGGGTGGAAGGCCAGGCTCCCCTATTCAGCAGTTGACACCTGTTGGGGGAGGGTGTCTTGTAATTTCAGGGCCTGAGAGAAAGTTGGGGCTCCCCACTAGGTGTCTGCTGATGCCACCTGGTGACCTCTAATGCCTTGAGCCCAGAGGTTGCCGACCACCTTCTTTTTACCTTTCAGTGTCTTCTTATATTTGTTTTATATAAAATGCCCAGGGTTTTTTAGAAGTACTTAGCCAGGGAAATAGGAAGAAATACATCTGCCTCATCTTGTCTGAAACTGGACATTCATGCAAAAAATATGAGGGGTACGGGGTGGGGGAATTATTAGCCATGAGGCTGGAGAGTTAGGCAGGCTTTAGACCAGCTATTCTCAAAGCCTTCTGACACCATTAAAAGTTACTGAAGACTTCGGAGAGCCTCTGATTTTGAAAGTTATATCTATAAATAATTACTGTCCCTGAAATTAAAACTAAGAAAAATTTAAATTATTCCCTAAAACTAATATTCATTAAAATAATATTATCTCATTATGTGAGCATAGAAGTAACATATTTTAGTTTAAAAAAAGTTTTTCCAAAGTAAAATCAGTTAGGGAGAAGAGTGGCATTGTTTTACATTTGGGCAAATCTTTTCAATATCTGGCAGGATAGAAAACTGCTGATTCTCTTACCTGTCTGTGTTCACTTTGTTGTCATACAACATGTGAGGTGCTGTCATACTGCATGTGAGGTGACCTCTAGTGAAAGAATGTCGATGAAAAAAGCAACAGCATTTCCATGTTATTATGAAGATGGTTTGACCTTGCAGCCTCCCTGGAAATGTTTAGGGGTCCTGGGAAGGCCCCAGACCACACCT